AAAAAAAAAGAAAGTAATGGATTACATATTTATACATTAATATTTTCAGCCATTTGTTTCACTGTAATCCCAAGATACAATGAATGAGCTTTATATCTTTCAAACTATTTTAGAGTAAGTCAATAAATTAGATACCACAAATAGTAATTTATGAATAACTCAAGATTAATATTACTTTCTATATAATCATTTTTATGATAAATTTTGAAGTCTTTATATTAAAAACATAATTCATTAGAGAATTCAAAATTTATCTAGTCTAGTCTTATATAATCATATTATATAAACCCTCCAAGCTTGATATCTTCGTATTGATTATTTAGAATAAGGCTATTTCATTCTTAATGTTTTTGGACCGTAATAAAAATAGTTAATTATAGATTCTAATTATTATTAATTATTATGGACTAGTTTAAATTATTTTTTAAAATTTAATTATCTTGTATATAATTATATAATGAATAAGAAAACATTATATCAAATAATAATATCTATACATGCTAAATCTTGTGTTTAAATATATAATTCAACAAAAATATCGATTACAATAATATATATTGCTTTCACTACAAGAAAATTATCGATGAAATTTTTTCCACGGGTCATGCGTAGGAAAATGTTCATCGACAAAAAATTGAATCTTAAATTGATGAACAAAATTTCGTCAAAATATTCGGGATAGGCATTTTCAGCAAAAAATTTTCTCGAAAATTTTATGTAGAAAACTAGCTGAAATTTTCACCGAAAAGTCCATAAAAAAATGGCAAAAAAATCTGATAAAAAGTTGTCTAAAATTCCGAAGTTTTCCACTATAAATATGGTCATTTTCTCTTTATCAATGATTTTCGATGGGGAATGAGTCGAAAACCTAGAGCAAATACTAAAAAAACTCTTTGACTTTCTATTTGCATGGAAACCAATTATAATTTATAGTAAATCATTCTAACAAATATTCATTAAAAAAAACAAAAAGTCATCAAGACAATTTAACTCAGAACTATTATTCTAAGTTTACAATAATTAATAAATAGTCATTAAAGAAAAATTTACTAACAAATATTAGATTCACAATTTTCTGAATTTCTTTGTCAAATTTAACATTGAGTTCATCGCATATTACAATACTAGTATACCTAATTATCTGCAATCTCGTCGAACTTAGGTTCTTGAACCTTCTTCTTTCGATATCTTTTTTAATGACCCTGGCTTCACCTACATCTCAAATTTTTTGAATTAGTATATTGACTTGCACTTGTCTCATCCACTCTATCTCCTTGGTGAGAGCAACCGCACTGTTGATGACTATCTTCTCAATCCTACTATCATCATAGGTTGCTGAGCTAGACAGTTGTGTCTCATATGTGTATGCCTCGGAGTCTAATCTATACACACTCCCCTTCTACCTACCTCTCACCAGCCTATTGATCACGTGCTATAGTTGGAAAACTATGTAGATCCCGAAGAAGATCCCTCACTAGTGGAAGGTTAACTCTCCTAAATTCGTATATAATCATCTTTTGAGAAATGGAATGCATATAGACCCATATAGATAAAATTTGTACGCATAAATACTTTACAAATTTAATAACTCGCATAAGCTTTCTTTGATCTTTGATCAACTCACTGGTGATCCTCTTGGCATTGATGCATGCAACTCCAACTTGGTAGACTCTGTACCAAGTACCTCTTTCTGCAAAAATCATGTTAAGAAAATAAACAAAAAATCAATTTGAATAGATGATCGTTAACTTATTTGTGTAATAAGAGAAGGTTTTACCAGTCACTGTCAAAGCTTGGTTTGAAGTGTTGAGCTGGCAGTATGGAGGGAACTCACTAAACTCTCATAATTGTAGGCTATATTCTTATTATTCTTCTCCCTCTTCTTAATGTAATATGGGCTAGCCCAAGCTCCTGACAATTCGCCCCATACACCCTCTACAAGCCACAAGGGGCACTCATCCAACATTCTAATATCAGTAAACATGTATAGCAAATTATTTGAACATCTCTTTTAAAGTTATTATTATTCTTGCATTATGTTGATGCAACAACCTAATGTCTTTCTGTTCAACTTCCTTAAAAAATTTATTTATCAATGACTTTTTTCTTGGTAACAACCTATTATACATCCAAGCCCTCTAAATTTGAATATCCAAATATATAACTTAATCTAACAAATATATTAAAAAAATAAAAATATTAATAGTAAAAAATATATGAAGGTATTTGCTCCCTTTCCACCACATTACATCTCCACTACTTAGGATTCTTCTATTGAAATTAGTGAAAGTGACTTTGCTATTAAATATTAAAATAATATAATTATAAGCAATGATCTGATTCATGAATAGCCCTAAATAATTACCATTTAATATAACAATTTCATAATATTTATGTTACCCTCCATAATATTTAATTTTTAGGCATGAGTGTATCTTAAATAAGAATCATTTTGTATGTAGTACTATCTTAAATATAACTAAAACATATTTTTAACTAAATCTAATGAATGTCACCAAACACTTTCCTGATTGGGTAAGGGTTGGTCCGGAAAACTTGGGTTATATCCAGTTTGTACTTATGGAGGATTTCCCTTCTTATTATTCTCACTGCAAATCATTTGGGCATTCTAAATTGGATTGTAGCATCCTAAATCGCCATCTTATTAATACTCCATATGTTAATTGTTTCTCGAGTAATGTGGTTGTTATGCCTTTTATTGATGAGCATAATACTAGGCAAGCCCATGGTTGTGTGGATTTTGCTTTGCACAATGATGATGATGTTGCTAGTGTGTGCCATTTGGACAATGATGATGATGTCTCTTTGTAGTTCTCCTTTAGTGGATTTGGCATGTTCCATTCAAGAGGCTAGTGAGGATATAAATAAGGAGGTTGCTAACAATGATGCTTTAATAGTTGGTGGTAATTTTAAACTTGTTAATTCTTCTGTTCTTGTTAAGAATGTCCATTATGAACTTGATCTTGAATCCTCTCATGAGAATGTGGATGTGGTGAATATGGGATTATGTGATGTTAACATGGTGGTTGATGATGACTTAATTCTACCACCTATTGCTTCGCTTGTTGTTGTTGACAAGGATTAAAATGAAATTGTTATTGGTTTGTCTAATAATAAGTTGAATGTGGTGAACATGGGGATTTGTGATGTTAACATTGTGGTTTTTAATGACTCCTCTAATGGAGTGGCTTTTGCTTCTGATAAATCTCCCTAGGCTTCTTTGAATATGGTTTTGTCCCCTAATGTTATGGTTGCAAATAAGAGTGTGCCTCTTATTGATGTTCTGGCTCCTCTTGTTTTAATAATGGTTTGAAAGCTCAATTGACGTTGAATGTGATGGATTCTTATGTGGACCAATATGATTGGCTTTATGAGTATTTTTTCTCCCCTTACAGAGGTGATGGGGAGGATTTGGATGGGCCTGAAGATGTGTTTCATGTGAGGTATAATTTGAATGTGGGTCACATAATTGAAAAAGCTTTTTCCCATGGGGGTGGTAAATATCATATGCAGAAATATAAGAAGAAGTAATTCATGTTGTTTTTATACCTTGCTTTTGTTGTTGGCCCTCCCCTTAGTTTGTCTTTTTCCCTCGATTGTTGTGGTCTTTTGGTGTTGGGCTAAATGTTGGACTGTGGGTTATGGTTGGTTTTTTACTGTGTTGTTTGGGTTTGAGAAAGTCTATGGTGTTGGATTGGGAGTCAGGTGGTTCTTTCTCTTGTGCTGGTTGGTTAGTTCTGCTTCTGATGGTTGGTTGGGTAGTCTGTTTGCCTTTTTCCTATTCCATGTTGTTTCTTCCTTGCAGGTTAATGTTTTGTTGGATTTTCTCGAGGTGTGTTGGCACTGGCTTTTTTCTGATATATATGTATTAAAAAAGAAAAAAATTGATCTATAAATCATCTTGGACGGTGATAGGTCACAGAGAGGCCAAGAGATGTGTTCGGGAGAGAAAAAAATGTGAATTTTTGGAGAAATTTTTTTGTTAGAAAATCCATCGGTGTGGATAGAATTTCCTATAATGTTTAGGGCACTCTCTAAAAAATTATATCCACCACACAAATTCTTTCTCAATGAAAAAAAAAATCAACTTAGAATATTTTCTTAGTTCTTTTTATTAGAAGATATATTAAAATTATTGAATTTATTGTAAAATAAGTTTAATATAAATATGATTGATTTCTCATTGACACGTCTTCAAAAAATTCAATTGATCAACATGGATCACAAAGCAATGTTTGAATTGAGGACTATTAATTCGAACTTTGATTTCAATAAACTTATAGTCGAAATGAATATCTCGACAATTCAAACATGTAAACTCTACAAATGATCCGATTTTAGTCCCGATGAATCCAAATCAATCACTTGACGTATATTTTAAAACTTCTAAAGATTATATAGTCAAATCGAGCAGGTCGGCGAGATGAATCTAATAAGCCCAATATCATTCAATTCTAACATCATTAAGATATTCAAATGCTTGATAATCGATCGATGATCAAGGGAATTAATATAAATCGTTTGACATAGCTTTTTTAAATTTTTGCCAAATTTATCAAAATACTCTATCAAAAAGGCTAGAAACAAGGCATCATTTTTTACATGAGAGGTAGTTCAAAAGCTTAGAGAACTAAATAACTACATTGTATTTTCCAGCAATCACTGTCGAAAACCAACATCAACAATCTTGCCACTATAGCCAAACTTCCATTGTTCAACTAATTAATATACCTTAATTATTAGCGGATAATCATGTTGTTGGATTTTAATTGTTTGTTTGTGAACACCTAATTTCTATAATAATTACAAAGGGAATTAAACAATTATTCTCCATTCTATATCTCTTATCTTTGTCAATTATGAGTATGAGATGATTCTTAATGGAATATTGTAAGTGATCAGGCCTCTCAACTTTTATTTGTATGTGTTGAATTCTTGTACAAAACAAACATATAAAAGACATGCACAGTTGCCATAAATTTACTAGATATTACACTCATATATTACATTTGTCTTAAAATAAATCCTACAATTTCAACACTAATATATACTACCCAAATACTTCCCCTTATCACTCCATTCCTACCAACATCAGAAGAACAATTAACTAAATCCATCAGCTATCATTTCAAAAAAGAAGTAAGAGATATTACAGGTCAGGCATTCAACGTGCGAGAGGCTATATAAGCATAAAGAAATTGATTCCAGGTATCAGGAAGACCAGGAAGACACCAATGAATACAATCAGCATAGTTGATCGGATCAGCTTGTTGTTCTGCTGTTAATAATTTACCTTGCCGTATAGTGTGAACGGAAGTGTGGCCATCTTTGCGAAGCTCTGAAAGGGCTGTGATGTTCACAAAGCTCACAGCTTTCTGCATGGAGCTTATTACATGCACAGCTGCGTAGAATAATCGCCAATCTGTTCCCACGTCCAGTGGTCTCTGCGGCCAGTTTAGCACTGGAAGTGTTTCTAGGGCGCATTTTATGCCATTTGGGTTCCCCCAGTCTTCACTCCTGTTATACACAATAACACAGTATACTATTTAGGGCATGTTAGAATATTTTAATTAAAATTTGATTATCATAGTTTTAAAATTAGAAAAAAAAAAAGAGTGAGAATAATACCTTATTAGATTTTGGTAATAATATATGGATTTTAAAACTTATTATTTTTACTTTTCGCTAATCGATATCAAAAATAATATTGCCTGCTGACTGCAGTTAGCTGCTACGATAGCTTGCGACCATCTTACGAGACAGATTGATGACCTAATAGTTTTGGTCGCAAATTATTTGCGAGGAGCAAAATTAGATTGGCAACAAAACGCTGTTTGTGACCAACTTTGAGGCAATAAATAAAACAAATACTTTTTTTCATAATATGAAATTAGTGTGATATGAAAGTTGATTAAATGTTCATGTATTACAATTATGTTGAAGCTATTGAAAGATTTTAAAATATATTTTAATCAAAATATTCTCACTTAGTATACATATATATGTAGTATTATTAAATTGTCTTAATACATTTACATATGGAGTGTTATTTTGGAGTAATTAATTAAGTGCATAAGTATAAATCGACTAATTACTTGATATGGAGAGGGGACATGCTCATAAAGAAGATCATAGTCTTCTTAGTATCCAAATTCTCATCAACCCACTTAGCCCAAGTCCTCAACACTCTTTCATAGGCCACTGGCCGGTCTACCTCGTCGTATTCCGTTGACCCATCTTCAAAAGATCCCCTCCTGCACATGAAATGTATTAGATCATAATGTATTTATGAACGCGTAGGCCCCATCAGTGAGTTTTAACCAAACAAAAAAAAAGATCAAATTTTAATCACAAGGACTCCCAAAACAATTGAATTTACTTTAAAATTAATACAAATTTGATTAATCTGAGAAACATCTTTATTATAAATTTATAAAGATATTTTAAGCCATGCTTCTTCTTTGTTTTTTATTCTTGACATATTAATGAATATTACTGAAGTAATTTACATATAATAATATGGGTTTATGTGTACTAACAAGACTTTCATGGTGAAGGTATTCATCCACCAAATGTAAGTGTTGAAGATAAGATAGTCGACTCCCTTCCAATTCTTGCCATGCTTTTCTATTGACTCTGGCATTATAATTCGCTCGAGTATACTGTGCTTTTTTGGGTCGTCTGAGTTCGACTCGACTAAAAATGGCGCCCAGTAGAACTCTACAGTCGCATCATACTCCTGCATATGTAGCACACAAAATCAAATTTATATGAACTCATATTCCTTGGAAATACATTAAATTCTCTTCTTGATAAAGTATATTTTTAGTATAAAAATTTTTTTAAAAAGAAAAATTTGTTATAAAAAACCTACTTTAAAAAACAGTAAAAAAAACTATCCCAAGCAAAACTTCCATTGTTTGACCCACCGCTGCTTGTAAAGAGCTGGCTAGGCAAAGCCTAGGTTCCTAGTTCGAATCCCTTGGCAAGCAGTGAAAGTCTTAAGTGTTGGCCCGTGTAAATTGTTGTGGGTTGCATGCTAGATCGACCGGGATTTTCACTGGCTTAACGACAGTGCTTCCTCGTCACAAAAAAAAAAAACTTCAATTGTTTGCGACAGCTTTAATTTCTTAGTGTATTCTAAAGCAGTTAACCTTAGCCTCACCTAGCTATCAAATCTATCATATATTTTTCTCACATATATTTCCTAAATATGAATTTCCATAATTTTACTTCTCAACCAAAAAAAAAAAATTACAATGGCACGAATTTTGATAAAATGAAGGAAGAAACATAAGAAGAAGTTTACCTCAGCTCTAAAAGTATTGAGTGAACCGTTTTTGACGAGGGTTTTTTTGCCTGGAGGAATTACTGATTGTACGAGGCAGACCATAGACTCCCATTGATTCCGGTTCAGTGAGTCTCCAACGAACATCAGTCTCTTCCCTCTCAACCTCTCCAGTATTAGCCTTGCATCGAACCTTCATTTTTCACAATTTAATCTATTGTAAATCACTTTTTTACATAAAATAAAAGTTCTAATATTATTTGCAAAAATAAAATGTTCTTAGTAATTTTATTTTGTTTTTCTAGTCATCAATATATATCAGAAGAGGCAGATTTAGGAAGAGCTCAGGATGAGCAATTGATCATAATGAAATTCTTTTGCTTTTGATAGAATAAATATTTTAACTATTTTCCTCTTAATAAATGAATTTACGTAAAATTTTAACTAATACTACCTCTACATGTTATTAAATATTTCTCCATAATGTCTTTTACAATAATTATAGTTATAAATATCATGCTTTAAGTATATTTGAATCATTTGAGAAAAAAAAGAAGAATAAGAATAATTATAAAGAGAAATAATTAAATTTATTGAATATTTATTCAATGACATTGAATCATTTTGATTGTCTAGTAAAAAGAGTAATAGTTGAAGTAATTGTTGAGAGCAAAAATGTTGATTATAAATAAATATATTTGAGTTTATTGGATATTTATTTAATGAAAACACAAATAGTTTATAGCTTAATTATAAGTATTAATAATAGTTGAATCTTAATGAAAAAGAATAATAATAGTGAGAAACAATTGATTTTATTAGAGATTGCTGAATCATTTAGGGCAACTTAGTAATATTTAAAATGCTAGCCAACTAATAAAATAATTATACTATAAAGAAAAATAAAACAATTATATTATAAAGAAGGCTAATTTTGTTTTTTGTTTTTTTTTTAAGTGCAAGAATTTTATATTAAAACTAACAATTATGATTATTGTATATATGTGGTAAATAATTTGACAAAAAAATTTAACAAAAGAATATAAATAATATTTGAAGGAGTCTATATATATGCTCAAATATATAGCATAACATGTTATTTCAAAATAATCAAATGTATTGAGAATTTTATATATCTATAATGCAACTCAAAATCAAGAATTATGATGAAATTATTTAATGATTATTATTCAAAATCAACATTAATTATCAATATTTTCATATTTTAAATATATCTCATACATATATATATGACTGCTATAATAATATAATCACAAAAATAATCATGTACTATCAATTTGAATTCATAATTAAAATATTTGGAGTTAATAAATAATTAAAAATTTTAATTAAAAGTCATGATTATAAATAATAATCGCATTCCAGTTTAAAATGAAACAGGAAAAAGTTTTGTCAAGATATCTAGATACAATTTATATCATGTTTAGCTTTAAAATCACTGGATGTATTTTGATATTACCTTTACACTAATCTTAAAGTAAATTCAAGCATTTTGAAGCTCCTTATGATATTCTGATTTTTTTTTTTTTTTTTTTGAGAAAAATTATATTAGAATATCCTGAAAAGTCTTTATATTTACTTAAATGATATGTAAATCTTTAAATTACATAAGGAAATATCACTAATAATATGAAATAAAATAATATTATACTAATTAGTATATAAGTGATAAATATAAAGGTTTAAATCTTAGATATATAAATATAGAAAAAAATTTGTAATAATTTTGTAATTTAATTAAGCTAAGCCGGCTTACTCAGGGAGGGAACAATCCCTAGGCTGCCATCTCCATTTCTGGTACGAATCGTCTCTGCGACCGTTCCGCATACAAGTAACCTGCTCCGTCAGGAATTCACATGCCTCCTCTCTGTAATCAGGCCGCGTCTCGTTATCGTACACCCACTCCCCCGCATAGACATCACACCCCTCTGCTAATCTCACCACCGTTTTATCCAAAACCCACGCCCTGTCCTCCTGACCACCTTCCTTCAATCTCGGCACCTTCGTCTTCTCCCTCTTTTCCTCTCCACACTTCTTCTTCTTCTTCTTCTTCAGATTAGGTTTCTCGCTTATCAGATCCATGGCTTCAATGCTCCTATTCGATTCTTCGGTGGTATCGAGGAGAAGGGGAAGGGGGGAGTCCTTGGGTTTCGAGGAGAAGGGGAATTCGGTAATGGATTTTAGGTCTTCGTTGTAGATGAAAGTGGCGAAGAGGAAGACGGAGAAGACGATTGCGATGATGGATAAGTTGTTGTTCCGCCGGGCGGCGGCGGTGGACTGTTTTCCGACGAGAGGTTCTGTTGATAGGAAGGAAGAGTATTTCCGGCGAGAGAAATTCATTTTGGCTTGAGAAGGAATGGGTGGTGAGTTTGTGCGAAGGGAGAAGTGATTAAGAAGAAGAGAATGGATCTGTAAAGCGATGGGTTGTTGGGCCAAATTGGAGCAAAAATAATAGAAAAAAATCGGCGTATCGAAATATATAAGAAATCGGAAAAATTTATGGCATATGTTTGAAGATAAATTCGTACAAAACGAATTAAAAAAAATTATGTCAAAATATTTTAATGCAAAATGTATTATGATAGGCTTAGAAGCCATTTGAATTATGTTAAGATTTGTACTGTGTACGATATCATAAATTACATAAATATTAAAATAAATCAACGACTTTGAAATTCATCATAATACATTTAATTTGCATCTTGATATAATTTTTTCCCTTTAAAATTGTAAGATTTACTTTGAGATTTGAGCATGATACATCACCAAAAATCATTTTGATCGTACACAAATCTCAAAACATCTTAGCAACTTTTAATATCAAATTCGGGACCATCTGAATTTCAATTTCGACAAACTTATTGTCAATTTGAGCATCTTAGTGAGACAAACCTAACGACATCAAAATTAGTTCAATCTGAACCCAAATGAGCTCAAATCAAGGGCTTAAGCATATTTAAAAGCTCAAAAGCATTAATTAAATGACCAATTGATATCAAAATATGACATGCTTATGGTTAAATCGAGCAACTCAACGAGATAAATCCAACAAGTCTAAGATCACTTAAATCTAATATCATTAAGCCACTTAAATGTTCAATAAATACTCCATAATTGAGGGAATCAATATAGGCCCTCCCATGGAGCAATCTAAATATGCTCTGGATCTTCTCCATATTTATAGAGCACAAACCAAGTTTACTTAAAGGGGGGCAAAATGGATTGTGACAATAATACTCTCAAAATCTATAAATATATACCCTAATTCCCAATTGAAATAGGGCTTGGATTTTTGGAGGCTTAGACTTTTTGGGCTAGAGACTTATGAGAGTTCTAAGGATTGAACCATTATGGAGCTCCACTCTAGCACCACTGCAAGCAAACCCTCGCTACCAGGCCGCTGTTGCTGGACCTCTACCCGACCATCATCATCTGACCTCCGTTAGGTAGCCATCATCCTACCTTCATTCGTCCTTCGACGCTTGCTGACTACGGTCCCTCGGACCACCATTGCATGCCGACTACGGTCCATCTAACCTTTGTCGATCATCATTCAACTACGGCCCCTTTGACAATCGTCGCCCTTCGACAGCATTCCCTCGAACCACTGTTGCATGACCATAGCCCCTCAAACCTTCTTTGCCCAACTACGATTCTACTAAACAAACAAACAGACCAACATTGTTATGAAAATAATTCTCATATCATTAGATTCTTCTAACTCTCTCAATGTAATGTGCTCTATATGATATATATTTGATACATTGAACCAAAGCCTTCTCCCGATGAAAGGCATCATTTATAATCAACTATAAACAATAGTATAATCATTTTAATTGGGCAATGCCCCATGATTTTTTCCTTTTCAAGATTTTTCACATAAAAATCTTGGTGTCTTTTATGACTATTGCACCCCTCTCTCTTATATGTGTGTGTGCTAGATCTTCATACAAAGCTAGAATGTGAAACCTTATATCTCTCTTCCGTCGCAAATGTTCCGAAAAGCAATAGTGCCATATATGAAGATTATGAATAATTATAATATTGAATTCTTGTAGATATATATGATAATGCTTCACTTCATTTTATAAAGAGAAAAATTAGGCTTTAAAACATTGTTAATGAAATAAACATTATTGAGCCAAAAAAAAGTTGAAAGTACAAAAGAATATTAGCATATTAAAACCCAAATGAGATTTATAAACCCTCCTCAAATTAATGGCTCCAATCTATAGCCATCATAGATGATTTCATTGTGGTGGATTATAATTCTAATTTTTAGAGATGCATAAAACATCAATATTTTCAAATAAAAAAATTATGATCCCTTAAAAATATAATAAAATTTCCAAAAATACCTTTAATAAATAACCACTAATGAAAAAAAAATAAAGACCACCACACAAACACACAAGAATTTTATGCAGGTCAATCAAATTCATAGCTACGACTGTAGATTTCACTACGATTTATTATGGTGAAAAACAGTCATAATTTCTTACTGAAAAACAATCATAATTTCAACGCCACGTTATTTCTACGTAGAGAACTTATGACCGTAAGAAATCATGAAAAAACTCTTAATTATTCTTAATGAAATGATCTCAAATAAATCTCTTTTTAACTTAATTTATTTATGTTATAAAAATTAAACTCTTACATTTAACAATGTATTTGTTGAGAGAAGACTTGATTGGGAGGTTGAGAGATTCCATAATTAATTTGTTTAGGTTTTGGTAGGAATGGATGGTGGGGTAGGAACTAATCTGCTGTTGGAATTCATTTGGTGAGATGAGTAATATGGAAGTTTGGAAAGTATGATAGTTATATTGTTAACTGCTATTATTTATTACTTTTATGTATTTGGAATCCATTTGGTTGGTTTTGTCTCTTTCTGGTTGGGAAGTAGCTTTCTCTTATTGGCTTGATTTTTGGATTTCTTTGTTAATTGCTTGTTTGTTATGCTAATAATTAGGATTAATTTAAGTATTATTAGTATTAAAGTGTTAATCACCAAGAAGATATTTTATTTCCTCAGTTTGCCTGTGTTGGGGCGCACAAATTGATGAATTTAGTTTGATCGAGTACTCTTATATATATCGAAGAGTTCAAGCGGAATTAACCAATGTTTGAATCATAGTTGGACGGATATCTAAACACGACGGTTCAGATCTGTTTGTGAGTCAATACAAACTGAAGAATCATAGATCCCCGATGTATTCCTTGATAAACCAGTTATTCTTGTTTTTGTTCGAGCCTCTATAGATTGGTAGAATCAACAAGACGATTGTCAATGAAAAACATATTATAGATCAGTAGAATCAACATGAACGGATATCTAAACACGACCGTTCAGATCTGTTTGTGAGTCAATACAAACTGAAGAATCATAGATCCCCGATGTATTCCTTGATAAACCAGACATTCTTGTTTTTGTTCGAGCCTCTATAGATTGGTAGAATCAACAAGACGATTGTCAATGAAAAACATATTATAGATCAGTAGAATCAACAAGAAGAGTGCCGATTCTCCCTATCACTTAACCATCAAAATAATTTAATTTGACTAAAAAATTAATATTAATATGGTGGTCCCTTTTTGTATAAAAAAGATTTATGATGAATAAAAATTAAATTTATATCTTAATTTATATTAATGTTCTTTACATATACATAAATAGAGAGAATGAGCACAAATGTGACACACTTTCATTGCCATTAGAAGAAGGCAAATTGATTGTCACAAATTTGGCATGAATTTGTTCATCTTGAAAATGCACTTCAAATCTGCTAACTATTTAAAAATGGTGTCAATTCATGTAATCCCAAGTCAGAAAATTTTGAAATCATATTATTTTGATTCCATTGAATTCAATTTGTTGAATTGTAGACACTAATAAATTTGTTGAAATTAAAATTTAGATTGATATCTAAAATATTTTTAAATTTATTTTTAAGTATTTTTAGATTAAAAAAATTATGAAAATTTTTTTTTTGTGTGTTCGAATTCCGCACGTAATAATCTCTCATTAAATGCAGACCCATCGTCCAACTCTATGGTCACCATCCAAAAATCATCAAGAATTATACGTTGGTGCAACAAATCAATATAGGCAGTTAAAGGTGCGTATATATAGTGATGTTGAAGGCATAATAAAAATTGTATATATCGCTTTAAATTTTATTGTATTTATTTTGAAATAAGTGAAATATAATATTAATTTTAAAATTAATTTAATAATTTTAATTTTATTATATTATAATTTATATTAAACTAAATAATTTTGATTTCAAAATTTTAAAAATATAAACCATTCAAAATATTTATCAAATTAAACCAAATTTTAATATGAACGATTTAATTCAATTATGGTGACGCGAACTCGGCTTGACTCATTCATACCCTTAATCATATTTGGGGAATTTAATTAATATATATAATATATATATTAAATTCAATGAAATTTAATTTTTTTATTTAAAAAAATAGATATTTTATGAATTTATTTTTCCAAAAAAGAAAAAAAATGTTTTCATATTACTCTATTGTAGCAAAATCCTACATTTGAAATTATATAAAAGTGGTCCATAAATCGCGTTCTCTTCAAGTTGTGGCAATGCCCAATTGACTTATGAGAAAGCTAACTTTATAAGATCCTTCTTAGCTGTTTTCAGGAAACTGATTGTTAATCGCTTTCAAGGCTTATAAACTTTGATAGTAAGCAATGAAGCTAAGAACTCCATATAAGGAAAAAAAAAGGTCAAAATATTTTAATCAAATTTTAGCTAAGATGAATTTTAAAATTATTAAGTTTATTTTAAAATTAATTTAATATATGAGTAATCAGTTAACTTATATTTTAACTCATTCCATAATAAATTTTGGCTTCCTTTAGAATAATTTTCTTACTACTTTCTAAAGTAATTTTTTTGGTGTAAAAAAATCTTGAAAGTAGCAAAAAGGCAAAATTAAAATTCATCTTCTCAAAATTTTTTAGTTAATTTTTTTAAAAACATAAAATTAATATGATATATATTGAATTTATTTTAAAATGAGCGTAATATATTAACAATTGATTAAATTTTATATTGCACTAATCTTAAAGTAAATCCAAGAGCTTTCAGTCCATCTTAGCCATAAATTTGATCTGAAGTGGGCAGCCTAATTTTCACATCAGTACTTAATTTTTTTTTTTTTTTAAACAACACAATAACTCTATTCATAATCTCAAATCCAAGGATACAACCATGCCAAATTAAAGAAAAAAGAAAAAAACCACAGAAAACAAAATGACAAAAAATACAAGCTAAGAAGACGGCTCAGCGAACAGCCAAGGCTCCCAGCATCCCGTCAACCCGCATAGACTGTCTAGTCGGTGAATCTCTAAAGAGCCAACCCAAGTCCCTCACCAACGGTTGCCACCAACA